CCTCCCCCCCCCAGCCACAGGCCCGATGCGCCCGCCGCTCCCGCTCCGCGCCCAGCCCCGCTCCCCATCCCGGTTCCCGCTCCCCATCCCGGTTCCCGCTCCCCAGTCCCGGTTCCCAGCGCCGCTCCCGGTGCCGTTCCCGCAGTTTCTCGCCCTCACTCGTACTCCCCGGTCGGCATCGCCTCCGCCTCCCTCACGCCGCCACACCGGAAAGGCCGCCCGCCACTTCCGGCCCGCGCGCGTCACTTCCGACGAGGGGAAGGCGGGAAAGCGCCCCGCGCGGGGCATGGCGGGAAGCGGTTGCTAAGCAACGCCCCCATGGGGCTTGCGGCCTACTCGTAGCGCGGCGGGAGAGAATTGGTTTCTAATTTATAATTTATAGGCGCGATTTATTTGAAGAAATATTACAACATATAAAAACTACATAAAGTATCGAGTTCCACCTTGTACAAAGCGGCCGCGGGGGGTTGGGTACAATGCGATAAAAATGGGGCAGCGGGGCCGGGCCCTGAGGGGGGGTTGGGTCAGCACAGAGAGCGCTGAGGGAAAGGAATTTAAAAATAAAATTAAAAAAATAAACAAAAGGCAAAGAGGTAAAGTGTTTTTTAAAGGAAAAAAACAGAAGAAGAAGAAGAAAAGGCAGAGAAAAAAAAATCCAGGGGGAAAAAGAAGGGAAAAAAAAGCTTTGAACATAAAGGAAAATAAGGGGTTAAAAAAGAGAAAGAAGAAAGAGGAAAAAGGGGGAAAAAAGGAGAAAGAAAGAAAGAAGGGATGTAAAGAAAGGAGAAAAACAGAAAAGGGGGGGAAAGAGAAAAAAAATATAGAGGAAAACCAGAAAAATACAGAGAAAAAACAAAAAAATAGAGGAAAAAACAGGAAAAAATTGAGGAAAAAACAGAAAAAAAAGAAATTTAAAAAAGGGAAAATAAAAGCGAAACCAAACCAAAGTGAAGCAAAAAGGCCAAAAATCATCCCCAAATCAGCCAGGCCGCCCCCCCGGGGGCTCCGTGTCCGGCGGCCGGGGACTCAGGCGGCCGCTTCCATCGGCTCCGGACGCGCCACGCGGGGACCTGGGGACACCACGGGGACAGGTGAGGTCACTCAGGGTCACTCAGGGGTCAGGGGTCACCCAGGGTCACTCAGGGGTCAGTTATGGTCACTCAGGGGTCAGTTATGGTCACTCAGGGGTCACTCAGGGTCACTCAGGGGTCACTCAGGGTCAGTCAGGGGTCAGGGGTCACCCAGGGTCACTCAGGGGTCACTCAGGGGTCACTCAGGGG